AAAAGATTACAATAAATGATTTTTAAGAAAAGATTACAATAAATGATTTTAAAGAAAAGATTACAATAAATGATTTTAAAGAAAAGATTACAATAAATGATTTAAAGAAAAGATTACAGTAAATGATTTAAAGAAAAGATTACAATAAATGATTTTTAAGAAAAGATTACAATAAATGATTTTTAAGAAAAGATTACAATAAATGATTTTGAAGAAAAGATTACAATAAATGTTTTTTAAGAAAAGATTACAATAAATGATTTTAAAGAAAAGATTACAATAAATGATTTTAAAGAAAAGATTACAATAAATGATTTAAAGAAAAAATTACAATAAATGATTTTTAAGAAAAGATTACAATAAATGATTTTTAAGAAAAGATTACAATAAATGATTTTAAAGAAAAGATTACAATAAATGATATTAAAGAAATAAAAACAGTAAATGATTTTTAAAAAAGTTTACAATATATACAATAAATAATTTTTGGAAAGTAATTGAATCTTAGCCACACACTCAAATTTTATAATCCCTATATCTAATTGTGAAAACCTTTATTATTTCAAACGAGGCAAATAAAAACTTTAAATATAATTTCCAAATTTTATATGTTTCCTGTGTATGCTAAAATAGATAAAAAATTCTCTTTTTCTCGTTAAATCAATTTTGATGCATTCTTTTCTTTATGTCTGTAATTTATTAAAAAGATTCTTTTGACCAGTAAAAATATTGGAGAAAATGGAAAATTCCTGAGCAGGCAGTTTTCATTCATAACTTTTATTCGACGAAAATTTATTACTTTTTTACAAGAAAAATACAAAAAACTAAAATCTAAAATGATACAATTTTTAATGGAAATAAAGAAAGAAATAATATTATAATGGAATCTGAAAGGAAAGTATAATGTAAATCTGGAATCTATATATATAAAGTTGTAATCTCTGTTTGTTTGGATGTCAGATCGTAACTCAGCCACCCCTTGGCCGATTTGCCTCAAATCTTGATTGGGAAACTCATGAGACCCACGGAAATGTTCTTAGCTTGGTTTTGAGATTTTAAGTTAAGTGAGAAAAATAGCTAAAATCGTAATTTACGACCAAGTGCGGGTAAACGGCGGGTGTAGCTATGAGTAATTTGGGCAACGCTGGGTTCTCAAGCTAGTAAAGTATAAAATAATGGAAATCTGGAAGAAAATGAAAGAGAAATGGAAATCTGGAAGGAAAGTAAAGAGTAATGGAAATCTGGAGCTTAAAATAATGGAAAGTAAGTTAATGTTTGCCACAAACTTACATTTTCAATTATTCTAATCCCTTTAACTTGCAATTTGATTGTGTAAACCTTTTAAATATCAATCTTTAACTCTTTGGTTTGATCAGGTGAATGCGAAACAGATGTAACTGAATTTATAAATTGATATATCAAAAGTCTACAAGATGTTTATAAAATTAAAAGATCAGAGTCTATGATGAAAACTACGTTCCTTTGGAAATAAATTTAAATTAAAATACTTCGAAAAAACGTAAAGATCGAGTTTTGTTTATTAAAAAATTAATTTAAAAGTATTTCTGTTATTTTTCCCGGTTAAAGAAAAGAAAGGAAAGTTTAGAAAGAAAACAGACTAAAATTCAATAAAGCTACGAAATGACTAAACTTATTTTATAAGAAAACATATGTAAAGTTTGAATAAATTAAAGGGACTGTACAGTGTACACGTAAAGCACTATTGATTGCACATAATATATCACTTTTCACAGATGGAGGGTTACTTGAAATCATTCTACAGTCCCTTTATAATAACAGAACTTTATCGATATGTTGAAATTAATTACTTGTTTAAATCAATTAGATTTGTTTTGCATAAATCTTAATTGTAATTCTAATACTTTGTTTATATAGTTCTTTTAACCTTATCACGATTGGGGGTTTTTCTTAATAACGCTAAAACTTTTTTTCTTCACTTTTTCAACTTCATAGTTGTAAACAAATTTAGCTAAAACATTTTTTTAAAATGCATAGAGTAGGGGGGAGATTTGTCAAAGGGCCACCCCCGACTAACCAGAGTTAGAGGCATTCGTTTTGGTTTATATTTTAACAATCTTTAAAGTTACGGATTTGTTTTTATTCAAAACATATATGCCGGCAAAAAAGTATTTAAGAAAGAAGGCTGAAAAATTATGTTTAATAGGAGTATTTGTAATCGAAAGTCATAGCTTTCTGGAATATTGACAGAAACATTAAATTCACGTGGGGCGGGTCGACGTTTCTCAAAAAAATCATTTATATGCTTCAAAAGCCCTTGAAAAATGGATGTTATGACATGTGTCACATGTTTATATTTTTCAAAAGTAAAAATATTTATTTTTTACATTTTCTGACGTGAACTTTGTTAGACAAATAGGGTTTATAATACAAACTATAATGATAAAGGAATTGAGTCTTTGCCACAAACTCTAATTTTCTAACCCATATATCTTTGCAACCCAATGCCGTAGACATTAGATATTTTAAACTGCGAATTCGAAGAATTAGAAATATCGAAGGTTTACACTGTCAGGTTGCAAGAATATAGGGATTATAGAACTTGAGTTTGTTGCAAATACTCAATTCCTTTAAATCTAAATATGGTCCGGATAGTTATTTTCTTGCAAGTAAATCATTTAAATTTTGCTCTGAAATACAATTAATTTGATATTTCAGCAAAAAATATAATAAAATTATATGGAAAACGGTTTGCAAATTTGTGCCCAAGTAAAATATCAATTTGTTCTATTAATCTATAGAAAATTGAGATCTCTGTGACGGAAATCAAATCTCTAGAAAATTGAGATCTCTATGACGGAAATCAAATCTCTAGAGAATTGAGATCTCTATGACGGAAATCAAATCTCTAGAAAATTGAGATCTCTATGACGGAAATCAAATCTCTAGAAAATTGAGATCTCTGTGACGGAAATCAAATCTCTTGAAAATTGAGATCTCTGTGACGGAAATCAAATCTCTAGAAAATTGAGATCTCTGTGACGGAAATCAAATCTTTTGAAAATTGAGATCTCTGTGACGGAAATCAAATCTCTAGAAAATTGAGATCTCTAAGACGGAAATAAAATCTCTAGAAAATTGAGATCTCTGTGACGGAAATAAAATCTCTAGAAAATTGAGATTTCTGTGACGGAAATCAATCTATAGAACTGTCCTTGGTCAAAAACAATTATGAGATTTTTCTAAAAGTGCTTTGATGCATGACTTCGTCATCTAAAATTCTAATTTCAAAAAAAAAAACCTGAGAAAAGAAGAATAGGAATAACTGTTATTGGTCCGAGATAAACAGCTGTCGCCACATCAGCTGATGCGCCAATTACCAATCCGAGGCTCTGCGCAACCAAACTGCAGTACAAATTATCATGTACCTAGTCACTAGTTTTTGTTAAATTTAATACTTTTTAGTCAAATGAGTACAATTCACAAGAAAAAGCAAATGACTCTGAAGAGTTACAGACATATTCGACATATAAATAGTCAAGACTAAGAATTTCTTGACGACTTTACAGGGCATACAGATTTAATTCAGTATTTTCTTTCAATAAACACACAATTGTAGCAGTACAATTATTTTCAAAAGAATTATACATGGTGTCTCATATCATATTAATCGTAAATGGGTCTTACAATTTCCGGGACTATAATCAGAAAATTTAAGAAGAATAAATCATTTTGAAAAATTTAATAAGGCTAATATAAAAATTGTCTTGCAGGAAATGTTATGTTTTTCGAACATTATATGTTTATTTTAGCGTTAAAGCTTGGAGATAATCTAATATGATATGGGACGCTCTGTATTATCTAATATGTATTGTAATAGATTCAATTGTATCTTAAAATCTTGACATTTCAAGAGTTTCAGGTCGTCATTAATGTTTTATCTTATGTTGATTAACACTTTAAACTTTTTTATTGATTATTACCCGATCCTAATCATATTGATAATTGATATCACCATAGATTAATTAAAATAACAGATAGCACACTACATCGTCGTCTTTCAAGATTTGGATGAAACTCGTTCACAATAACCCTGAAAATAGCCCAAGTGATTTTCAGCGTTGAACAGGCTCTCTCTGTCTTGTAATTCTACGCCGACTGCGCGAAACTACTCTGGGCTTCTGTCTCGGGATTTTTCTGAACGAGATTCATCTAAATCTTAAAAAGACAACATCTAGTGTCCTATCTGTTATTTTAATTAATCTATAGATATCACAATGTCTCTAGGATGACAATTGACAGTACTTAGAGATAAAAAGCATTTGTCCAGAGCAGGGTTGACCCCAAATCCGATATTTTTTACCAGGAAGTATCATAACATCCTTGAGACATTAATTTCATTATGATCGTATAAGAATGAATGAGTTTGGAGTTTTTTTTTTTTCAACACCCTTTATATAAGAGGTTGCAATTGATCAAAATTGAAAAACATTAGTACTTCAAAAAACATGGGGTAGAGTACCATTCATTAATTTTGCTCTTTGATCGTTTGGGACTAGGGTTTCCATTTTTTCGCATTTCGTTTGTATAAAATGGAAAAATGTTTTTTACGAAATTTCTCGTAAATCTGTTTGCAAAAAAAGGAGCATTTGGCGAAATATTACGCAATTTTTTGCATTTTGTGCGGAACGGATTAATGCAATAAAAACAAAAAAATCGGCAATTTTTTCTCGAAATTTTAGCATTTTTCTCTCACGAAATTCCGCATCGTTTTCGCTTCCTATCGCAAAACTCCTTTCGCGAAAGTTTTTGTTCGCTAGAAACCCTAGTTGGGTTTAACCTTTATAATTACCTCGTGACTGTACATATGAGGAGGAACATAAAGAACCTGGATGGATCCAGGGGCTGGGAGGTCATGAAGTACACGATCACAACGTACACCAGGGGGAACAGAATCTAGGTTAATTATAAGCTTCTGTACATGTTACACTAGACCTATTGTATAGAGTTCCCCCAAAAATTATAGAATATAATTAAAAAGAAAAAACGTATATCTATATTAAAACATAATTAGACAGTTAATCAAAATATTTTTAACTGAAAGCGTATAATAAATATTATAAAACGATCTAAAATAAAACAAAATTATTTGGTTAAAAAATTTTAAATTTTTTGGTCATTTTCTAGTGAGAGCCATTTAAGCTGTGGAATAAAATGGAGAGATTGAACAAATTTAATGCGTATTTGATGTTGCTTTAAGGCATTAAGTTTTATCTTCAGCTTGAGCAATTAACTCTTGAGCAATCAATTTATAAAGTTTAATTAGTCTGTATACAGTCTATACACTTTGCACAATTGCTGTGATTTCTGTTCAAATTGGACAATTTGAAATCACAGTCGTCTTCCTATTCCGCAGTTTAGATCTCACTATACCTGGAATGGGAGATCTGCGAAGGTTTTGGCAAGGTAGTAGGACTTCATGGAGTACCAGCAGTTTAAATGTTCTCGTTTAAACGACGACATCTCCAGCGGAAACGTCATGACCTTCCAGTAATGAAAGTTTTTAAACCATGTGTAAATTGTTGTTGTTTTGTTAACATATATATCATTTTTGGTTCTTGTACACTGGACAGTTGTAGGTTTATTTTATTTTATTTTTTTCATGACTTTTTATTGTTTTTTGAACCTATACAGCTTTTTGTACAGCTTTACATCATTTGCATTTAATTGTTTTTGTTTTTAATATAATATTGACTTTTTTCATTATAACATTTTTTATTGATGTGTTTTCCATTTTACAGATATTTGGCCATCCATCTGATGATTAAATAATTTATCATCAAAAATCACCCCTCCGCCTCCCCCACATCTTCAAAAATAAATTTCCACGAGTAAATTATAATATAACGAATGTTTGGGAACCATTTTGAAAGTTTTTTTTTCGCTGCTTTTGGTGAAAATAACTGTTTTTTTTCGGTTTAAACATATCTAAAAGTAGGGGATGGGACATCTTTGATTTAATTTCCACAAATCGTCAAAAATCATGAATCCTAAAACTTCAATTTTTTAGAATTAAAAGAAATGTTATTACCGTTGGCATCATTGCTGTGAACATGAGGAACAACATACAGAAGAAGAGCATTGCCGCGTTATTGTAAACCTTTCCAGCCTCATTCCCTTAACAGGTTTATTCTGTTTGTAAACAAGTTTTCTAAACAGGTTTATTCTGTTTGTAAACAGGTTTATTCTGTTTGTAAACAGGTTTATTTTGTTTTAAACAAGTTTTCTAAACAGGTTTAATCTGTTTATAAAAAAGTTTCATAAACAGGTTTATTCTATTTGTAAACAAGTTTCATAAACAGGTTAATTATTTTTGTAAACAAGCTTCTGAACAGGTTTATTCTGTTTGTAAACAAGCTTTCTAAACAGGTTTAATCTGTTTATAAAAAAGTTTCATAAACAGGTTTATTCTGTTTGTAAACAAGTTTCATAAACAGGTTTATTCTTTTTGTAAACAAGCTTTTAAACAGGTTTATTCTGTTTGTAAACAAGCTTTATTAACAGGTTTAAATTCTGTTTGCAAACAAGCTTCTAAACAGATTTATTCTGTTTGTAAACAAGTTTCATTAACAGGTTTAAATTCTGTTTGTAAACAAGCTTCTAAACAAGCTCATTTTTTTTGTAAAAAAGTTTTCAAAAAAATATTCTTTTTTTAAACAAGCTTCTAAACAAGCTTATTTTTTTTTGTAAAAAAGTTTTCAAAAAAAATATTCTTTTTTAAACAAGTTTAAACAGGATTATTCAGTTTATAAAAAAGTTTATTCTGTTTATAAACAAGTTTTCAAAACAAGCTTACTCTGATAGCTAGCAAGTTTCATAAACAGGTTTTTTCTGTTTGTAAACAAGTTTTCTAAATATGTTTATTTTGTTTATAAATAAGTTTAATAAACAGGTTTTTTTCTGTTTGTAAACAAGTTTTCTAAAAATGTTTATTCTGTTTAGAAACAAGTTTCCTACCTATATCCCAGTAAAGAGCTCCAATGAGAAGTCCTACCTATATCCCAGTATAGAGTTCCAATGAGAAGTCCTACCTATATCCCAGGATAGAGTTCCAATGAGAAGTCCTACCTATATCCCAGGATAGAGTTCCAATGAGAAGTCCTACCTATAACCCAGTATAGAGTTCCAATGAGAAGTCCTACCTATATCCCAGGATAGAGTTCCAATGAGAAGTCCTACCTATATCCCAGGATAGAGTTCCAATGAGAAGTCCTACCTATATCCCAGTATAGAGTTCCAATGAGAAGTCCTACCTATATCCCAGTATAGAGTTCCAATGAGAAGTCCTACCTATATCCCAGTATAGAGTTCCAATGAGAAGTCCTATGGCTACATGAGAAAGAAGTCTAAGTTTGGTGAGAGTCTCATCTCGTATAATAGAGAGGAATGTTCTGACAAACAGAACCTAAAATATATATTATACATTGGGACATACAAAACCGTAGATTTGGAAGACGAATCTTGGACTTAAATTACAACCTGGAACAGCGCAAGCAATTGTGCAATTAACACACATGAGTTGATTTTGAAACTTCTTTAAAACTATTTGCTGTAAAAATAAGCATTAAATAAATCCTTAGTTTTATTGGTTTCATTTTACATTGGTTTTAACAAACAAACAGTTTCATAATGATTATCTACTTTATTCATTTTTATCATGCATTTTCTCTTAAGTTTTTGTAATTTGTAGCTGATTTTAATATATTTTTGGCTGATTTTAATAAATTTCTAGCTGATTTTAATAAATTTGTAGCTGATTTTAATAAACTTGTAGCTGATTTTAATAAATTTGTAGCTGATTTTAATTAATCTGTAGCTAATTTTAATAATTTTATAGCTGATTTTAATAAATTTGTAGCTGATTTTAATAAATTTTTTTCAGAATGGAGACGAAGCATTGATAAAGACGAAATGGTAGAATGCAAGTAGATAGAAGGGAGTAAGCAAGGTTTACCCACAATTATCCAAAGTTTAAATTAAGTGTTCTTCTTCTTAGTTATAATGATATTGGAATTTCAAAACTCATCTTACTAGTTTGAACACTTGTGTATATTAACAAATTGATTCAGTTGATTAATTGATTGATGTAATCACCTTGAATTGAGTCCATGAGGATGTTGGATAGTTTTTACAGTGTTCGTCTATAGATTCCATTGATCCGATAGCGTCTAGTTCTTTATCCCTAGATTATATATCATTGAATCCTGTTTATTCCTAGATTAGTATCATTGAAAGCTGTTCATTCCTAGATTAGTATCATTGAATCCTGTTTATTCCTAGATTAGTATCATTGAAAGCTGTTTATCCCTAGATTAGTATCATTGAAAGCTGTTTATTCCTTAATTAGTATCACTGAAAGATGTCTATTCCTAGATTAGTATCATTGAAAGATGTCTATCCCTAGATTAGTATAATTGAACGCTGTATATCCCTAGATTAGTATCATTGATAGCTGTACAATCCTAGATTTGTATCATTGAACACTGTATATCCCTAGATTAGTATCATGGATAGCTGTACATTCCTAGATAAGTATCATTAAAAACTCTAAAGTAAATGTCCATGTATTAATATTTTATACTCGATCCTCAATTAGACGTTTTTAAAACTGAAATAGCCATGACAAGAAACCTCAAAAAAATTAGTGAATTCAATATAATTTTCAAAAATGTGATCAGTCCGTTTTGATAAATGTGATTGTTTACCTTGAGACCCCGCCAGGGTTAGAATCCCCATCAGGATCAGTTCTATCTCGATCCAATTGACTAGAAAATTCATGAGGATGATGATAATGGTAAAGTTCAAAGGCTCATAATAATGAAAATATTTATGATAATGATGATAATGATGATAATGATGATAATGAGGATACTAATTACCTGGCTGGTGAGAGAGGTGAAGTCTCCTCTGAGTCTAGGGGCAGGTATATTCTAACATCTTCATTCTTAAATAGATAAATAGATATATAAAAGATAAATAGATAAATAGATAAGTAGATAAGTAGATAAATAGATTAATAGAGAAATAGATAAATAGATAAATAGATAAATAAATTAATAGATAAATAGATTAATAGATAAATAGATAAATAGATAAATAGATAAATAGATAAATAGATAAATAGATAAACGATAAATGAATTTTTAAAAAATAGCTAAATATATTACTAAATAAATTTTCCACATTTTAAGGCCAGAAGTTGGAGCTCAAACTTTCAGGTTTGTAGTGCTGGCAGTTTTTAAGAAAAATTGAATTTATTTACTTTTACAAATATTAAATTCTCAAAAATGTTTTATTATTCATTTTTGAAAGTTTTTCAAGCTCAACATTCCAGCTCGTTAAGGACCAATTTGTTAACGAACGATGCATTGACGTTCATGTCGTTAAAAAATCGAAAACGTGCTTAGCCCTAAGTCCAAGTCGTTCATTCAAAAATAAAATATTTTATTAATTGATGCAACGGAATATAAGCAAATATTTATGATATTTATCAAAACAAACAAATATATGTTGTTTAAATGAATCTGACGGGAAGGATAAGATGTCACAGAACCAAGATATAAAATGGTCGACAAAAAGCTCAGCGGGGGAGGTTGAGATTTAGCCTAAACTCTACGAAGTCTAGAATAAGAAATGCATCTTTTTAAACCCGCTGCGTTTCAGATTTCAAATAACTTTTTCTTTCAACCGCTGAGTTTAAGATTTTGAACACCTTTTTGGTTTCCACCACTGGAAAACAGTTATTCTTTCAACTGCTAGGTTTAAGATTTTAAATAATTGGATCCTTTAGCCTTCAGCCCTCCAGCCAGAATATTTTTTTCTACGAGATTGATAAAACTATGGCGGAATAGGAATACAACTGTTGGATTCAAATTATGTTTCTATGTAAACATTCCGATAAACATTAAGCGTTTCAATTGTAAAGTTGGTTTTGAAGTTACCGGTAAAACGATTAAATTATTAAATTTTCGTCTTTTTATTCCACAGTTTAATGGTCTCCACTGTACCAGCTTGGAAATATAAAAACTTTTCTTATTTCAAACTAAAAGTTTACTTAGAGATCAAAGTTGAGATAATATGAAGCATATCAAGATAAATGTTTTTATAGAGAGATTCTTTTTAATAAAATTCCGCTAGAAAATTCGCAACTGCAGTGCTAACCAGAAAACTGTAGAATAGGAAGACGACATTAAAGCAATACTAAAATGCATTTGATGTTGCTATAAAGAAAATAGTTATTAGATCCCTTATTAAAGTAAATGGGTCTTTTTACATTGCACAATTTCTGTACCTCATGTTCATTGGATTCAGTCGTCATAAATTGAGTCTAAAAGTCGACTTCCTATTCCAAAGTTTTCTTGTTATAACTGTAATAATATTATTTTTAATCTAAAAATCTAAATTTAGTGGTTACAGCATAACCTTAGTTTACTACAATTAAAAAATTGAATTTTTGTCACAAACACAAATTTTCTAATCCTTATAGCTTTGTAAACTGATTGTGTAAACCTTTGATATTTCAAACCTAGATTATTTGATCTAACAGAATTCATAGTTTGAAATATGTAAGGTCTACGACATTAGGTATCAAATTCTTGTAAAAAGAATACTGCACCCTCAACTAAGCTTTCGGTGTGTTCTTCAGTAATTTGCAGTACATTTACCGAAGATATAGTAGCGTTTAGAGGAGAGTGAAGGTCGTATATAATATAATATATAATTATATATTGTGCATTTACAATAATTTACAATATTCGATTTAATGTTTTCGTTCCTTTCGAGTTCCCCCTCCCAGTTTATATCGGAAATCAGAAACAAAGTATTTATTTTTAAAACAAATTTGATTAAAAATTTCAAACTAACCTTGACATCTGATCTGGATTTTGTAATATCATTAGTTAAAGATATTGTTCCCCCTGGTCTGTTGCTAAAAATAAGAAAATAGTATTAACAACATTCAGCAGGGCGTATACAGGATTTAATCTGGGGGGGGGGGGGGGTAAAAAATTGCGCAAAGCGAAATAGAAGTTGAGCATCCTCCCAAAATTGTATTTTTCGTCTAATTTTAAGCGAGTTTATAGTGTGGATAATAAGATTTGTATACATACTTGTGGGCATTTTCTCCCAAACATGATAAAATTCAAAACAAGCAAATAAATTATTTATAAGTAGTTTTAGATTTAAAATTAAACGAATTAGTGCTTTGTAAGTCATTAATCAAATTAGAAAATCAAAATTTAAAAATGTTTAAAAGTTTTGGCTTCTAACCTTGATTCTCTTGATACCGTTGGATGTTTAGAGCCCTCAGATAGATTAGTACATTTACCATTCTAGAATAGATTAGTGTATTTACCATTCTAGAATAGATTAGTACATTTACCATTCTAGAATAGATTAGTGTATTTACCATTCTAGAATAGATTAGTACATTTACCATTCTAGAATAGATTAGTACATTTACCATTCTAGAATAGATTAGTACATTTACCGTTCTAGAATAGATTAGTACATTTACCATTCAAGAATAGATAAGTACATTTACCGTTCTAGAATAGATTAGTACATTTACCATTCTAGAATAGATTAGTACTTTACCATTCTAAAATAGATTAGTACATTTTACTTTCTAGAATTAGTAAATAGATTAGTAAATTTAACATGTTAAAATAGATTAGTACATTTACCATTCTAAAATGATTTATTCTTTAACACGTGAAACTAACTAAAGCTAGGCATGTCCATTATGTATTCTTAATCACTTGAAACTAACTAAAGCTAGGCATGTCCAGTATATATGCTTAAACACGTGAAACTAACTAAAGCTGAGCATGTCCGGTATATATTCTTGAATACATGAAACTAAATGAAGTAAAGTATGTCCGTGTTAATATTCTCAGTATAATGATCTGATTTTCCCATTTATAAACTATTAAATCCAAGAGAACAGTTTTAAATATCAATATATATTAATATTAATATGTGAATACTTTCAATATGAAATTAAACAAAAATATTTGTTCTCGTGTTTTCTAAAAAACTGTATGGCTTTTTCATTCTTATTTAAATTTTGTCTTGATAAAAAGAATTGGAAAGGTTTATGCGCATTCATGATTTTTTAATTTTATGTCAAATCAAAGTTTAATAAAATTCATTACGATGTTCACAGAATATTTGGAGTGCTTTATAGTTTCACGTCATGTAAACTATATTATTGAGACATATATTAGATATCTAATATATTTGTACATGTACTGAAGTGATGTTTATTTATTGTACCTGTACTACAGTGATGTTTATTTAGTGTACCTGTACTGCAGTAACCAGTTTTTCAGTAAACATACCATGCTCCCCACTTGCAACCTTAAATATTAAAAATAAAAGTTTTTTCTCATGGTAAATGATTATTTATTGCATGCATTAATTAATTACAAACAATTATGAGTATTTTTACAATCATTGTTAATTTTATTAGTTAAAAATACTTTATCATTTTAATCCAAAGTTTTTTTTTAAAGTTACATTTCTGTTTTACATTATTAATATTATCGTTATTATCGTCATTTTTATTATTATCATCTTTTTTATCATCAATATGTAAATCATTTATTTTATTTACATATTGATTCATATTTTATTATTATTATTATTGTCATCATCATGATGTAAATTATTTTCTCTAACCTCCATAACAAAGTCTGCTGGGTTATGATAGCTAGGACATTCTAGTCCCATGGAACCAAGGAATGGAATTAGCCCTGACACTGTTCCTCTGAAATAAATGTAAACAATGTACAGTGAGAACCAAAAACTTTTGAATAAAAAGACGAATTTTAGAATAAAGTTGATTTTAAATGAACATTAGACACTGCAACTGTGCAGTGAACACAGACCCGTTTCAATTAATAAGAGATTGTGAAGCTACTAGTAAAATTATTTGCTTTAGAACAACTTCAAATACAGTTAAAATTATTCCTCTTCAATAATTTTCTAAATCTCGAAAAACAATAAAAAATGTTTATTTGTTATTTTGTTAATTTTGTTAATTTTTTAATTTTTAATATTTAAAAATACAGTTTAAAGGGAGTGTTCGCGAAAAATGAAAGGGGGTATAGGCTTAATGCGATAAAAAAGCGCTTTTGATCGCTACTAATCTTACTTCTAGCTGTTGCGTCTATAAGGAGAAAATTGTTAAAGTCGTCTCATACCGAATAACTTAGCGTCCATACAAATTGAGATAATTGCAACATACGACTTAGACCGTAAAAAATCAATTTAATTTCAAACAAATTATTCAGATATTACAACCTATAGTCATCGATTATCTTTCGCCACATTTGAATATAGTTTATATTTTATGATATTTTTTTATATTTCATTTGTTTAGAAAACGTTTTAACGGATTTCGAAAAATGTGAGCGGTGCGCGACATTCTTAGATAGTTCCGCAAGCGACAAGAGAAATTATTAAATTCAAAACAAATTAATTAAAATCAATAAATATACGACATCTTCCTCGGTGTTATATTCAGATTAAGGTTTGAATGGTAACGTTGTGAATCGGACATTGCTTGCTCACTTGAAACTAAGACGACAGTCTTTTATAATTGTCAAACTTAAAATGGTTTTAAACTAAATTTACTGAACTTTAAATTACACTATACCTGTAAATGGGTTTAAACTAAATTTACTGAACTTAAAATACTTAAAGTTACACTATACCTGTAAATGGTTTGACCCTCAGCTAGGACGTAAAGTTTATCAAATTTTTCAAAAACCCTGAAGAAAATAGAAGTATCGTATTGTATTGACTAGAATAAAAAAAATTAGAAAAATAAAAAATTGCAATTGCAATTTGCGAGCAGAATTTTTAATGCATTAAACGTAATTGCAAAAAAGTATTTTTAAAAGAAAAAATGTTGTCTGATTTAATAGGTGTTAAAACTTTAAAGTTTCCTAAATATCTGAAATATGTTAATGTAAATTTTTATGTTTTTAACATAAAGACTCAAAATAAGACTATAATGAACTCTTTTTCAACCCACATTCGATAGTATTATCTAAAGAATGGTTTAACCATTAGGAGTTTAATTTCTGAGAAAATAAGGGAGGTCGAAAAATTATTTTTTAACTCTAACTATTTCTTAACAATTTACTTGTTCAGTTTTTCATAAAAGGTCAATACAGAATTGTTTAAAAATCATTTTAACAGAATTAAATGACTTAATAGTTTTACCTTTCCTTAACAATCAAATATTTCACAAAATTTTGACAAAAAATTTAAAAATTAAATGATTTAAATTTTAAAGATTCAAATTTTTTTCTAATTCTAGATAGATTTGGAAAAACAAATCTTTAATCCCCCCCCCCTAGAGCTTTAAAAAGGGGTATACATAGGAAGACGACTGTTAGACACAAGTTTAAAAAATCTAAACATGAAACTCAGCATTTGTGCAGTGTACACAGACTTTATTTGATAAATTGATTTTCAACCGACTAGTAAACTTTTTACTTAATAATAACATCAGATAAACAGAAGATTGATTACATTTCGTCTTTTAATTCCACAGTTTTCTTTGTTTCACTGTATAAATAATTTACCTTGCCGAGGGTTGATGAATTGTACATATTATAGTTCGACCTTCTCGTGCTAACTCCTTAAATATATTATAGTTCGACCTTCTCGTGCTAACTCCTTAAATATATTATAGTTGGACCTTCTCGTGCTAACTCCTAAAATATATTATAGTTCGACCTTCTCGTGCTAACTCCTAAAAAAAATTATAGTTTGAGCTTCTCGTGCTAACTCCTGTTGGATACTGGATAGCGTATAGCTTTAAACTGAAAATTTACTGTGCCTTATTCTAAGTATAATTTTTCGTGCGCAAAATTTACTTTCAATTAATTAAGTTGGAAAAGTGAAATATTTTGAGCGTTCAAGTCCAAGTAGTAATAAAGAAAAAGCCCCCCCCCCCCCTCCCGATAGGGTTAATAGACTAAGACGACATTTACCTTTAACAAAGTGATACATGAAGTACAGCTGGCAGAATCTAGTCCACTGGTCGGTTCATCAAAGAACATTACTGGAGGATTGTTGACAAGTTCTAAACATAAATATAACAGTAAAACTTTCACAAGTAAAATTATTTAGAGTCTAAATAGATTTCATTTGTTATACTATTGATTTACTTAAGTTGTTCTTTCAGCTCAAATTATTCAGAGCTTCAGAAAAATGTAATTTTAATGAAAGCAACAACTTTAAAATAGAGCTGAAAGTGCAGTATTGTAGAGAAAAACTTTAAGATTCATTTGATACCAATGACATATTTTAACAGTTTAAATTTTTTAAATAAAAGTATAAAGTCGTTTGTAATATTTCACCAGTTGTTTCAGTCAACAGAATAAACTTTAAAATAAATGCATTGGATGATTAGTGCTCTTAACATACAGCGTTACCATCAAAGAATGAAACTATCAAAAAACTATTTTAAATTCAGTGATCAAATACCCTTCAGGTTATCTTACTAAAAGATTTTAGGTTGCCGTTCATATATATATATATATATATATATATATATATTTTTTTTAATAGATTTTGTCACGTTCAAAGTTAACGAAAATTAGAATCCAGGATTAGAACTAGAATGAGGTGCAAAACTAATTAAACTAAATTAAATTGAAAACCGTGAAATTTTTACATCTTATCAATGATGTTTGAAAGAAAAAATCTAGAATAAAAAATTGTTAAAATGGTTCAAAGCTTAAGCTTTTTAATCATTGTATTTTACATTTTAGAGTTATAAAAATAAAACTTTAAAGATTTGAGTTCTAATTCTGGAAATGTATTTTCAATATTTTATATTGCTCTTTATAAAATTACAAATAGTTTGGCCATGAATGTTAAAATTTGAATATTAATGTATAGAAATAAAGAATTATATTCTTACTAACTGATTAAGTTCCCTGAGTGGTCTTAAGTGAATCTAACAACACATGTAGAAAACGGTCTACCCGCAAGAATCGACCAATATTTGTTAAAAAAATCGCCTTCTCACAAGAATTGACCAAGATTTGCAACAAAAAAATCATGAGAATTAGACACTTTTTAAACTAGAAACCCCACATTATCTTTCAAATTATTGATAAAATAAAGGTACTAAGAGAACTGATGTAAATCAGGGGATTGTCCTCTTTAAATGGAGGGTTACTTGAAATTACGCTTACAGTCCCTTTAAACTTGAAATTACAACTACGGTCCCTTTCATAATCAAACAATGAAATTGTTTTTACCTAGTTTACCTAGAGTACCTAATGTTTAACCTAGTTTTTACATAGTTTATCTGAGTACCTAGTGTTTAACCTAGTTTTTACCTAGTTTTAGCTAGTTTTTACCTAATTTACCTAGAGTACCTAGTGTTTACCTAGTTTTTACATAGTTTTAACTAGTTTTTTCCTAGTTTACCTAGAGTACCAAGTGTTTACCTAATTTTTACCTAGTTTACCTAGAGTACCTAGTGTTTAGCTAGTTTTTACCTAGTTTTTACCTAGTGCTATGTTGTTTACCTAGTGCTATGTTGTTTACCTAGTGCTATGTTGTTTACCTAGTGCTGTGTTGTTTACCTAGTGCTGTGTTGTTTACCTAGTGCTATGTTGTTTACCTATCACTATGTTGTTAACCTAGTGCTATGTTGTTTACCTAGTGCTATGTTGTTTACCTAGTGCTATGTTGTTTATCTACTGCTATGTTGTTTACCTATCACTATGTTTTTTACCTAGTGCTATGTTGTTTACCTAGTGCTATGTTGTTTACCTTGTGCTATGTTGTTTACCTAGTGCTATGTTGTTTACCTAGTGTTATGTTGTTTACTTAGTGCTATGTTGTTTACCTAGTGCTATGTTGTTTACCTAGTGCTATGTTGTTTACCTAGTGCTATGGTGTTTACCTAGTGCTATGTTGTTTACCTAGTGCTATGTTGTTTACCTAGTGCTTGTTGTTTACCTAGTGCTATGTTGTTTACCTAGTGCTATGTTGTTTACCTAGTGCTATGGCAAGACGTTTTCTTTGTCCCCCTGATATCTTAACTGTACGTGTCTGAGCACACCTGAATACAGTTATAATTAAATCAAACAGTGAGACCTATAACATTGTGAAATAAAATTATTAAACTATCCGAGAAAATGGTATGTTTAATAGCGAAGGCAAGAGAAGTAGAATAATTATGGTTTTGCTACTATATAAAGTACAAGCTGAAATGCCCGGCGTTGGCCGTGGAATTAAAAAAAAATTTGAAAGAATGACCATCTTGAAAAAAAAATCGCTTGGCCAGCTATAGTTAAAATATATATTTTTTAGCTATAGCATGCAAAACTGCTGTATTAAATTGTCTAAAATTAAATATTTTTTTTTCAAAATTTGAAATCAAATTTTCCAAAGTGTTTTAAAATTCAACGGGCAACGCCGGACATTTCAGCTTTTGTATCGTATCACTTGTTATAAAAATCACAAAAATAAAGGTTAAAAAATATTACTCTGTGAGCCCGAGATTATCCATGATCTCAGATATAACCAGCTCTTTATCCCTGGCGGTCAGTCTTTCACCTAGCTTGAGGTTAGCAGCTACCCACATACTCTCCTCTACAGTCAGGTGCTAGGATAGATAGATAGATAGATAGATAGATAGATAGATAGATAGATAGATAGATAGATAGATATATAGATAGTTAGATAGATAGATAGATACTGACCTGGGACAAGCAATCGTCTTGCATGATGTAAGATGACATTCTTCTAAATTTCCTCATGTTCCTGGGTACTGCATTTATAGTTATATTTCCAACCTGTAAAAATTTAACATAAAAAAATAATTATTTAAAATCAAGTCTCTTTTAATCTTTATGACAGAAACAATCTCAAGAACTGACGAGGGTCAACCCAGACCGAAATATATTTTCAATAAAATCTACTTTTTTTACTCTACAGAGGTTTGGTCTATCGCCATCACATGAATTTTAAATCAAAAGTCTGTCTGTCAGTCTGCGTACCTGCTCAATGCAGATACAGACAAAAAGTCTAAAATTAAAAGTTAAATTTAAAATCAATATTCTTATTATTCTATTTATTTTCCTAGCATTCTTCTAGCTATTTAAAATGTTGTATGTATGACCGTTCAACAAAGTTTTTAAGGCCTGCAGATTTTTAAAGATTTGTAGCAGCTCAGAGCTGAAAACTTTAGAATGGGATATCCTTAATCCCGATCGGTTAATTAATTTGGAGATTAATAAGAAGAGGAGAACAAGCATTAATTAATCTCGAGATTAAGAAAAAGAGGAGATCAAGCATTAATTCCGATATCCACCATTTAAAAGTTTCTAGCTCAGTTAACCCAATCAAAATCTAACAACGCACTAAATGAACCCATTTTTCTACTTTATAAAGTTTTCGAAGAGTTGAACTGGTTGTTTCGGATAGATCGATATTTTCTGGACTTACCACTTTACTAGATCTATATCCTGCCATAATATTCATCAAGGTAGATTTACCAGCTCCACTAGGTCCCATTATAGCGGTCAGCTCACCAGAAGTAAACTTCCCGCTCACACCCTAAACAATATTTGTGATATAGATTCAGAACACTTCGTAAGCTTTTTCTTGATATACCTGAATTTTTTAGTCTGTGCTATTTCTTTTCTAAGAATATTTAAAAATGATTTTTTTTTGCATAGTTGGCACATTAAGTTTTTCTTAATTTCTTGTATATTCTAGAATCTAGATATCTATACATAATAAAGCTCTTCGCTCATCATATATCAAAAACAAACTATTGGAATTTGTATATGTGGATCTGTTTCATCCAGTCATGATTGAGTTTCCAGGTGTTTCATGGCAAAGCACTGGTTCATTTGCAACTTAATTTTGACAAAATTGTTTTTGTTATTATTTTTTTGTTTTTTAATAAATTATATTTTGTATTTTGGTTTTTCTCTGATTATATATTCCATATGAAGTACAAGACACGTAAAACTTAGGATGATCATTTTAGGAAAGTAATGGAGTCTTTTTTGAGTGTACTGGGGTAAAGGGGTTGATGAGCCATGAAGAGCCATGAGCTGCCGACCATAGTCCTAGAGTCTATGTACTTTTTAGTCATAGTTTTTATCTTAACTAAGCTTTCAGTGTGTAATATATGCAGTGATTTGCAGTACTCTTACCGAAGAAATAATGAGTTTTTGGGGAGAGAGTAATATTATATATATTATATATTCATATGATAGCTATGCTGGGCTGGACCAAATTGGCTAAAGTTTTTTCTTCAAAATTCGATTTTTTTTCACGGGCAACGCCGGACACTTCAGCTAGTTATCTATTTTTTAAAGCTCTTCGCTCATATACGTAAATTAATATAAAGTAATTTGTTCCCTATAGCTGGCCAAACGGCTGGACCAAATCGGCTCAAATTTTAAGAGGAACATTGAAATGTCAAGGGCAACGCCGGTCACTGCAGATAAAATCATAATTTAATAACAAGCGCGGGTAAACGGCAGGAGTAACTCTGACTATGAATAATGATATAAAAGCTGGGCAACGCTGGGCCCTACAGCTAGTTATGCATATTTCAAAGCTTCGAAGTATTTCTAAGTTTTCCATGATTTCTTGGAAAACCAAATAATATTATTACAAATATAATTTGAAAGGCAGAAGTGTAACAAGTCTATTGAACACCAAAGCATTAATGGTTTGCTGCAGAAGCCCAGAGCAGAAGCGCAGTCAGCGTAGAGCAATCTCTCTCTCTGTCTTGTAATTCTACGCCGACTGCGCGAAACTCCTCTGGGCTTCTGCCTCAGGGTTATTGTGAACGATTTTCATTCAAATCTTCGAAATCCTGTGATGGTAAAAGGGATGAGTGGAAAAGAGAAAAGAAGTTAAGTTTTAAGTTGATAAGTGGTTTAGTTGACAACCATAAGTATTTGATACAAACAAGTTTAAGTTTAAAGAAAATTTTCCTTCAATAACTTCTATCTATATTCAAACATTATGCTTTTTTCTCAAATTTTCAAACTACAATTTGTTAGAACAAAGGCAAGAGATAGGTAGCGGTTTTGAATCGTTTTTAAAGATGAAAGATTGTTCAGTTTATATTGTTTGCTTAAAAAGTTAGCTTTAATAATACAATTTGCACAATTTTTACTCTGTGTAAGATGTGAGGCCGCGGCTCGCGAAACCAAAACGATTTTTTAATAGATTATGTTAATGTTTATATATCTTCTGTTGGAGGAGTAGTTTTGAAAAATTAAAGGAAATCAAATCTATAAGTTTATAAAAAAAATAATATCTCAGATTCTAATGCAGCTTTAAATAAATAAACCTTGAATATTACAAAACACCTAAAACAATACTCACCTTTAAAATAGTTTTACACCCTCGGCTTGATCCGAATATACTTCTCCTTTCTTCAACAGAGAAACTCACATTTTCAAACTCAATATTTGCCTGAAAATACATTTTATTATAATCATTATAATTTATCACATATTTTCTTCATATTCTTCAAACCTTATTTAATTTATTCTAATCTCATTCATTATATTTGAATACTACGGTTTCCAAGATAAATGTTTAAATCCTACGAATTTCTAATTTTCTAATTCCTGAATCTTAGAAAACTGAACGGTAAACCTATAATATCTACGATCAAGAAGAATTCTAAGGTCTACGGTATACAGATGAAAAGATTTCATGATTAAAAAGTTTGAGTTCCTAGCGTGAATCAGTTAACTTACAAATATTATTATGAGTAATTCTTTTTAACAATTATATTAAATTAAATGAATATTTAAATAATTTAAAAATAATGTTTACCGGAGGTCGTTTAGCGAGGTTTGTCATTAGTTTCTTCTCCGAGGTTGTATTTGAGATCTTTTTATGGAGTCCTGGAGGAGAGATAGCCAGGGCAGATACTCCTTCACATTCCTAGATATAGACAAATATTATCAAATATGGAGTCCTGGAGGAGAGATAGCCAGGGCAGATACTCCTTCACATTCCTAGATATAGACAAATATTATTAAATATGGAGTCCTGGAGGCGAGATAGCCAGGGCAGATACTCCTTCACATTCCTAGATATAGACACATATTATTAAATATGGAGTCCTGGAGGAGAGATAGCCAGGGCAGATACTCCTTCACATTCCTAGATATAGACAAATATTAT